GGGAAAATCCAATGAGAGGAACAGTGCACATGCAAGCCGATTAAACAGTTTACTTTCAGCCAAGCTCCAATCCGTGTTGAGCACAGGGTGTCAAACTTAAGATATCACACTGCGAAATTCGAATCGGACGGGTTACCCGTCTTAAACACAGACCCAGAGTATGGCGAACAGGTAAGCCTAATATGTCGCCATACAACTTTGCAGACTGCTATCTGGACATAACGGCCGAACTGCACTTGAACCTATAATTACTTGAGGACGGTCGGTATAGATATAATAAAAGCAACCATAAAATAACACTCTGAACGGCCATCACATAAAATTTCCTTTTTCCTAAGAATTAAGTCTTTTAGCTTAAGATGGGCCGATTGGGGACAGATCGAAAATATACAAGCTTTAAGTCTAATTCTTACAGTAATTGGTTAAGAGCAACTTAAAATTATCTTGGAACTGATAGCATATTGCCCTAGCTTGCAAAAGTGCTCCAGTAACTGGCAGAAAACACAAACATAGAACGAACCCTTTTATTTGATTCTTTTGAAGCACGGAGACGGTCCATAGCGACCTTTTGATCCTCTTCGGATTCAGGGTTCAGCAAGATAATATCTTTCGGTTCATATTTTTTGCTGCACTGAAAAAGGAGAATGTATTAACCCCCAATCAGCATCAGAAAGGGTAGAGGTTGGTATGGTTAAGTAAGGAAACACAGCGGAATGTTTTGAAACCTCAGCAACCAGAAATACTCAGCTTTTTGCTAGAAATACCGCCTAAGTGTAACGAATCGCTATCATCATACAGTGGCGTTTCTACATGTAATAGGAGTTGAGCCCGATAAGAAAGCATTAAGTCGAGAGAAACTGCATACGTGGTTTTACGTCACGGATGAACTAGTCGGCAGTGGAGCAGGAGACTGTCAATGAATTATTTTTTGAAGTTGATAGTGTGAGGTGCTGTGATCTCTGAAGCACGTTAAAAGAACCTCTATACGTTACGTTTGTCAGTGATTGACAATATATTGGACGTCAAATAAGTATAAAAACACAGGAAAAGATCGCAACGATGAAAAGTCAATTTCGATACAGTTAGCGCAAAGACAGAGTGAAGGTTATCTAGCGTGCAAGAGAACAAAATCTTTGCCAGCGATGCTACCAGCGTGCTCGTTTATATGGAGAAGTAAACTAAACCGTTCATTTATCTTACGCAGGCTCCTCTTAATGCCAATTAGCGCCTGGGCAAATATACGTTAATGTGTGTGTGCAGTACGTCACAGCGAAACCACCTTAGGCATAGTAGCTTAGTATTTAATAGAGTAGTCGCCGGCTATTAAGCTCACCTCGGGCCCAGACCAAATTGGGCTTAA